TCGCAGGTTAGATTGGCTTTTGTCACGCAGCCCCTCTGAATACCTCACATGGTCACTCACGAAGCTGTGCCCCACAATTGCGACGTCGATTTTAAGTTAAGCAAGACACGGGAAGCTCCTCGATGTATTTTGTGGACGGGATAAATGCCTCAGAGTCCGACCTAGGGTGTGCTACGGTGGTGGCGGGGAGCTGGAATATCCGGGCATGGGGGGTAGCGGCATATGACGGAGAATTTCAGTCCACCTGTTTGCTTCCCTCCGAACCCCGCATCATATTGATTGGGGTGTCATACCTTTTGAAAAAGAAAAGCGTCGTTCCAGGCGTACCTACTCATTATTACCGGGAAGTCTAGTGTTTGAAGAGGTGCAGCCAAGCTTTCAGTAATCTAGTTGTACTCCTGCAATCAAGCCTCTGTCATGGCGGTGTGGCAAGGCGCTGGTTGCGACTTAAAAGAGGGCATCGCGACGGGTCTTCAAACCGTCCCTAGAAACTCTTACCGCGATCCCATATCACATCTATCATTCAAATAACATGATGAAGTTCCTTGGCATTCTTTCTTCTTTGGTGGTGCTGACTGGCAACGTGCTCGCCGCCTCCCGCACATCACCACCTTCGGGCTCAATCGTTGTTGCCAAGTCTGGTGGCCAGTACACCTCTGTGAGTACCAAAGTTTCACGTTATTTTGGACATATATGGCATCTCTTAGGACCTAGTTTCTGACTCGACTTTACTCCAGCTCCAAGCTGCCATCAACTCCATATCAGCCAGCTCGACTGCCACAAGCACCATCTTCATCCAGCCCGGTACTTACTCTGGTCAAGTTTCCATCCCCAGCTTGAAGGGAAAACTCGTGGTCTATGCCTACACCACCAACGATCAGGATTACACCAAGAACCAGGTGATTTTGACCAACACCTTGTCTGCTGCGGATGCTGGAAGCAACGATCTCTCGGCCACGCTTCGCGTCGCGACCAACTACTTCAGCCTCTACAACGTCAATGTCATCAACGGCTACGGAAAAGGCTCTCAAGCCCTGGCCATCTCCGCCAACGGCCAGTACCAGGGTTACTACGGCTGCAGCTTCGTCGGCTACCAGGACACCGTCTACACCAACAAGCCTCACCAGGTCTATAAGAACAGCTACATAGAGGGCGCAACTGACTTTATCTTCGGCAACGACGGTAATGCATGGTTCGAGAAGTGCACTATCGCGATTAACGGAGCTGGCTACATCACCGCCAGCGGTCGCGACAGCGCTGATTCCTACTGGTACGTCATCAACAAGGCCACGATTGCCGCCAAGTCAGGCGCTGGTGTTTCCAAGGAGTCGACCGTCCTCGGTCGTCCGTGGAGGGAGTATGCTCGCGTCGTCGTCCAGAACTCGCAACTCAGCGACGTCGTGAAGCCGGTTGGATGGTCTGCTTGGGGCACGAACCCGACCGCGAATGTCTACTACGCCGAATATGGTAACACCGGAACTGGGGCTAGCGGAACTCGGGTCAGTTGGGCGAAGAAGCTTTCCAGCGCCGTCACCATCGATTCGGTTCTTCCCGGATACACATCATGGGTTGACATGACATACTGGAACTCGTCTTAATTTGCACATGCGTGCGAATGCTTCGTACTTTCAGTGGGATGTCCTGTCACTCGGCCGGCAGGACAGGAGGGGTTTTTGAGTAGCCAAATGTAACAGAAATGAGATACTCATAAGCTGCACTAATTATGCAGTAAGAACCCGGTGCGTCATAGTTGACATCCAATCGGTAGACGCTGGACAGAAACGACCATCAATCTCCACTAGCGTGCATAAATGTGCCCTCATTCTGCAGATCTCAGTCTAGCTCATGTGTCTCTTAAGCGGCCGACCCCTCTCATTGCCTCACGAATATTGCAGGTCTCTCATTCCGAAGCGTCCTTGCAGGATACGGAAACCATGTCGACATCACAAGTTCTTTACTCACCGCTCGACCGAGAGACCCGGTCAACGCGCCTCCTCAAATTCCTTCCGAAAAGGGAGGAGGGGACAATCAGCTGCACTTTGACAAACCACACGTCAAACGACCCACCCCCTTTCATCGGATTGTCCTATGTCTGGGGTGCTCCGGAACCAACATATGCGATCGCCGTCAACAGTGAAACATTATATGTGCGTGAGGGTCTCTGGCACGCCCTTCAACAGCTTTGTATGATTGCTTTCAATAAGGAAAACAGCATATCCAGCCAAAGAAATACTAAAAGCAGATGTCCGGGATACTTTTGGATTGACGCCATTTGCATCAACCAAGATGACGTGTTCGAACGTGGTTATCAGGTCGATCTTATGAAAGACATATTTTCTACAGCTACCTTCGTCATCTTTTGGGTTGGAGAGGCGGAAGGGAACGTCGCAGATTTACTCCAATATCTCCGAAACCTAAAGCATACCTCTCGACATGATAGACCCGAATTTCTGCGCAAAGCCAAGAAGCAGTTCTCTTTTAAAGATGCCAGATGGCTTATCTCAATACCCTACTGGTCAACGATCTGGATTGTGCAAGAGTTTACACTACCTCAAGAGCTTTACATTCTTTGTGGCAATGATGCAATATGTTGGCCAGCCCTACAACAATTTCGGCCCTTCGATATCTCGAACAAAACCAACCTAGGATTCAAACATCTATCGAAGCAAGGAAAATCATCACAGTATCGACAAACATGCGAACAGTTGCCGAGAGCTTTCGAAATTGCGGCGATCTTGGCTAACAGATCCTAAACAGCCATCATACACCAATCGCGATCCAGATTTCGGTGCAAGACCTACACTTACACGACTTCTTGCCTTTTGTAAGGACTATCGATGTTCAGACCCGCGGGATATGGTCTATGGACTATTAGGTCTTACCGATGTCGAAGGCGAAGTTCGTCTGCTGGCCGATTATGGAATCAGCCCTTTCCAGCTGTTCCATCGTGTAATGTCGCACCTTCACCAGCAAGGAAGGGTTCTTTCTCAGATCTTTCGTACCAGGCTGGCCGAAGGTATGACCACGAGGATCTACCGACATCTGCATTCATCTATGAGGTTGTCGGTGGTCGCAATGTAAAACGACTTCTGGTATCTGATGCAAATGTTTGCAAAGATCAATTTCTGAAAGATGTGGCAGAATATCTTGGTGAAGATCTACGTGGTGATGTTGAGTCCGAATCTTCCCAATTTGAGAAATTTCTTTCTCATTTTCAAAGCTTTCCTGTGGAAGTGGACCCGGCGACTTGGGACCTATTTGAAAGGGCAATGAGGAAAGCTTTCGAGCTCCATGAAGACGAGATAAAGATTTGAAATAATTGGACACAGTTACTGACATGGTTCACATTGGCTTCCATTCCAAACTCGAAGTGAACTTGCTACCTGGTGAAAATCTCTCCGAGAACACAACACAGTTGACACATTTTTCAAATCATTTAATGGCCAACCCATGCAAAACTTGGAAATGGAGACCTGCGCTATTTATCCGGCAATGTGAGTGCCGTTCTTGAATTGTCTCCCAGCTACCCGGAACTTTATGCCAAGACCCAAGCACCGAATAGCGGAGTCAAAGTTCGCCAATCATGCGACCAGATTCGTCAACATCAAAGCGTGGGCATCGTCAAAACCAGCAGCGCATGTACCGAGCCCCGAACTCTCTCCGCTGAATCTCAACCACATCCCCCATGGAGTTCTTTGCGCACACTCGCCGAACTGCAGTCCTTTCGAAATCGGCCTACAACATTGTATCCGCCCTTGTCTTACATGCATGGAGTCAACCAACACCATGCCCTCTGAAAGCCGAGGGCAAGCAGCCGGTGCCATGTACACTAGACTGAATAAGTCATGCGACCAGTGCCGAAATCGAAAGGTTCGTTGTATTGGTAAGCAACACAACAGCTAAACCGCGTATATTCATAAGACATAGTCGACTCAGCTAACGATCCGCAGTACAGTCGCCAGCAACAGGAGGTCCGGTTGTGTGTAATAACTGCATCGTAAGCCCCTCTACGCCACCGTGATACATTCAAAGACCATCCCTCCTAAGACAGAGCCAAAAACGAAACAAAACATGCCATTTTAGCATATTACAAAGAAAGCTGCGTTCAAAGATAGGTCAGTAACATCTCAATAGCAGTCTACAGTAGCCCCTCGGCCAACCTTGCTGCGCAGTGCCCTTGACTCCAAATACGTCAACCCGTGAATCTTCTCACCAACATGTTGAAACGCTCTCGGAATGCTTCATAGATAGGCTGTTGCAAGACCACTCGGCTGAAGCAATTCTCTACGATGAGTTTTCTGTGCTTAAGGTGGGTGACCCAGCTGACAATTGGGCCATTCGGGCTGAAAGACAATTCACAGATGCAGGACCGACGAGGTAACCACTCCCGCCCGAGACTCTGTTGGCTGCTAAAATCTGACAACCACTCAGCTCCGAGCTCGGGGTTAGCCTACTTCTCTGATCAAAAAGTGGATCAACTCGTGCAAAGAATTGGCGATTCTCGGATCCGAGATCTAGTCAACGGCATAGATGCTGCCTTGCAATCTAGTATTTTCACCCGCACCGACGAGGTGCTCTCACTACTCGGCTCTGAGTGCAGATGCCCCCCGGCCCGGATTCCGGCGGATGAATCAAGACTTTACGTTCGTCGTAAGTTACCAGACAAAATAAGAGCCACCGGAAGTCTGAAGATGTAAGTGTGATTCTAATGACGCTTTCAAGAATACTTCGACACACTGCATCCAGTTTACCCGTTTTTGAATCGAGACGACTTTGAAGAAAAGGCATTCAGCCACGAACTGGACAAAGTCTTGGACGATGATCTACAGTATTTGGCTTTGTATCACGCTGTTTTAGCTCTGGGATGTCAGCATTTTGGCCAGGGCTCGTTCGATCCGGGAAAGGGTTGAGCTTGGGAACTCTTCGGAGTATGCCTCAGCCATACTGCCGATATCCTCAACTTTGGAGACTCCCTGCTCGGCCTTCAAGCACTCACTGCCATGTCGGTATTTTGTATGAACGCATGCTACCTTCAGGTTGAACACTCGATTCTCGCCGAGGCAACACGCATGGCCCTAGCCCTTCGATACCACAAATCAGCTTTAGATGGAGGCCAAGCGGTATGCCGGAGGACCTTTTGGGTGATATATCACCTCGAAAAGCAGTACAGCTTTCAAGCGAGACAAAGCCCCGGAATTGCCGATTACGATGTTGGTTGCCCAGTTCCCAACGTTCCGGAGTCGACATTCGGGGAATACAACTGGTCGTCCAGACGATTTGGCAGGGTTCTTTCCGTGGCGTACGAGCAAATGCTTTCCATCACGGCGTTGACCCGTGACACGCAAATTCTCTTATCCGCCATTTCTCGAGTCCGTGGTATGCTCGAAGGTTGGAGGCAATCTGTTCCGGTTGACTTTCGGCCAAAGGAGCAGCTGAACAAGCAGCGTCTCACCGGTCCACGCACTAAGCAAATTGCACTTTCGACGCAACTCTACTATTTTCATTCGGTGATTGCCCTGGAACGGATGTCTCTTCAACTGGACGCAGACGGTGGCCAGAGACAACAAGAAAGCAGAAAGGACCTGTTGCAGGCAGCTAGGACAGTCATTGAACTAACTCGGTACATCGATGTCGAGCCGTACACACCAGTTTTGTGAGTCGAAGCTCATCGTTATCAGGAAATCAGTCTGTGACGACTAACCTTCAGATGCAGCACTCTAGCCATCATGCCCTTGTCGGCACTTTTCATCTTATTTGACTTCACTATCTACAACCCACAGCACCCCGATGTCCGCTCAAATCTCACTCTGTTGGATATCACCGTTGGTCACTTCAGCCTTCTTGACCACGCTTCCGGAGGATCACTACCAGGAAGTCATCTGAGTGAGTTTTCGCACATTGCACGGCGTTATGTGCACGAGCTTCCAGGTCGTGCTGGCGATGAGACCCATGAACCTGTGTCTGCTTTTGCGGGAAGGCGACACAGTTCGAATGAAACACCCGATACTGCCAGAGAGGTCTGTTTCATATTTTTCCTACGGAGAAAAGAGCAGGAGAAAACTAACATGAGTAGGGAGCGACGCAGACAGCTGTCCAACCGGAACCAGAAAGTTTTGACGAAGCCGGCGTGGAAGATGATGCGAATATGTATGAGAGCCCGGAGGTGTTGAACTACCCAACGCCGGATGTGTGTTTCTGGCGACAAATATGCCGCCCATGAGCGAAGTGGACTTTAGGTTACTCTTTACCACGCCACCATTAAACCCTAGCCAGTCTCAAGAATAAGTACAACACTTGAAATTAGGTACTAGCCACATAATCAGAACTCTGCTAGTAACGCATGGTGACATGAATGTCCTCAAAACTATGCGTTCTTCAATACGGGAAGTACGAGACAGGAGTCGCTGTCCCCGCCAACGTGAATAGTATGACGAGCTGGCCGGACCACAGTGCCAGTTGCGAAGGCCTCCTCAGAGCCCAAATTCATGCTGTATTTTGGGAAGCAGGCACCCGCTACCACAAGCCGAATTCTCGACCCGGCTGGAACCCTGTACGCGGTATCGGAGAGGTCCAGGTCGATCAATTTCCCTTCACTGCTGGCTTCGATACGCCGATACCTTTCCGTGATGTTGTGGGAACGGCCTTGGCCATCCACAATGCTGAGTCGAACGAACAAGTCGCAGAATGAATTGTCGCTCGAGTGCACAAGATCCACAGACGGCCGTCCGAACATATCGAGGGACTCGGCCAGCGGCTCAGAAGTGAAAGTAACGACGTCGTCTCTGGCGCACAGTTCCGTATCGTCCACGCTACCTCCTCCAAACAGGAGGGCCCCGCCGACGGTCGGTGTCGGGTTAGAGGGGTCGAAGGTGAAGCTGGAGGTATCACCATTCGACGATTGCAGGCTATCAAGCCTGCCCTCAGGAGCCAGGAATAGCTCCTTGTGGCTCGTGGCTGGGGGCCACTTCGGAAACTCAAGCCACTCGGGGGCCTCTCCGCCTCTGTAGATCCGCACTGCCGGGACACTTTGGTTAGTTTTCTTCCGAGCAAGGTGAGCCTCCAGCCATCGATGTGCGTCTCTCGTTGTTTCTGAACCCTGGGCTTCCATGTGACCACCGGGACCAATTCTCAAAGACACTGGACATCCTCGTTGACTCAGAGCTTGGTACTGCTCCATCGTCTGCTCGAAAAAGATATCATACCACCCAGTGGCTAGATAGATGGGTACGTTGGCCTTCTCCAAACCCCTACCATACCTCTGACCGGCCCAGACCTGGTGATCCATGTCTGGTTGCTTGATCTGCTCAAAGAGCCAAGGTGCCTTTTCGCCAAAGTGACGCTTCAGCGCTGGCTCCAAAGGAATGTTCTTCAACAGCGGGTAAAGACGGTTGGGGTTTCTGAAAGCCTGCATTGTACCCCAGATCCCGCGAGTCTCCTGATTCGCAACGCTGTCGCTCCATTGCACATGCTGTTGCAGGCTGAACGCGCCCGTGCCCCACATACGTTCGGCGAAGTCGTGCGGCGCGACCGTCATGATCGCAGCGACCATATCTGGCGGCGGGTCCGTCAGGAGCGCCCATTGAGTGAAGCCGAGATACGATCCGCCAAGCGTGGCGAATGTTCCGGTATACCACGGCTGCTCCCTCATCCATGCTACAACATCCTGCCCATCTTGAGCTTCAGAGGATCCGCCGTCAAATGCCCCGGTGGAGCCGTAAGTCCCGCGGGAGCTCACGAAGAGAACTTGATATCCGCGGGAGGCCCAGATGCGGGCCATGAGCATGCCAAAGAAGATACCGCGGCCGTAGGGACCCCTTACCAAGACAGTGCCGGCGGCGTCCTGACCATCGGGGCGGTAGAGGTCTGCAGCGAGAACTATGCCATTTGAGATGGGGATCTTGACACTTTCGAAGGTGTAGCTGCACGTTTCGGACGGAAGGCCGAGTGACCACCCGACGGCACGGTCGAAAACAGTGGCCCACAACGGACGCGGAGCCGGAGCTTGGGCGGCCATCGCTGCTTGACGCGTTGTTGAATGGTGTTTGATGGCGGAGACAATCACTCAACGAAGACAAAATCACGTCTTTGAATGACCGGCGGATGAATTGAGGGTTGAACACGAGCAGCTCGCGGGATCTCGGAAGACGGCAAGTTCCCGCGTCCCCGCTTCCGGTCGCGTACGCCACCACCACCTAGTCCGGAACAATCTCAGGCCGGCTCCATCTCCCTACGCGGACGCATGTCTCACTCTATCCAATAATATTTCTCTTTCAGCACAGTCCATGTATTCAAACCAAGTCCCTGGCACCTTGGGGTGAAACGTACAGTCACTGAGCTTCGCAAGGTCCCCGGGCGAGAACTCACTGGAGACTGTGTTCATGCGGTGCACCTCGCTTTCGGTTCTCACAAACTCTGACCCGAACTCAATTCAAAGTCACACATAAAGTTGCAATGGCCTATGCGGTGCGTTCTCGCCGCTAAAATACTCCGATCATACTTCCGGAGAATACCACCGTCCGCCGTGACAATGTCCGGGGCTATGGGGCCGTTGTCATCCGTCTTGCCGGCAGGAGCTCCGGCATACTCCCGCTTACGTAAAATGACAGACGTCACAGGCTGGTACTGCATGCGGGGTTGAGAGGTTCGTGTGTTGACCACCACACTCCTTGCAATAGACATCAATTCTCCCAGTGCATCGATTCAGTCAGTACCTTGTGCGACTTCACTAAAACGCCGTGAGGATGTCTAAGCCGGGCCAATTCCGCGCAGAGTAAGTGCTGCAGCCCAAACTCATGTTTCGCTCATGTGTCCATTCTAACATCATGCAGTCTTCCTGAGCTTGCGCGCCTTCTCCTCAAAGATGGACCACAAAGAACAAGACCGACTGCCCGCCGTGTTCGGGTCATACTGAACCAAACGTTCATCGTCGATACGACGAAGGCTATGCATGTCTGGGAGCACATCGCCTACCCGCAGTACTACGTGCCTACAACGGCCCTGAAGAATTGCAAACTCAAAGACAAAGAGGCAATCAACTCCGCCGACGACGCTTCATCGCCTGCTGCTGCTGTGGTAGAACTCACCATTCCTGCTCACGATGGCGTTGGCGAATTCACTACAGATCGCGCGTTGCGGTTCTCAGACGACGAGAAGTTGAGCGAAGCATTGAAGGGTATGATCCGACTTGAATTTGGAAGCATGGGTAAGAGACCTCACGTTGCGTACATGCCTTAGTTTGTAGCTGACGTGTGTCTAGACCAATGGCTCGAGGAAGAGGTCCCCATCTACGTCCACCCAAAAGACCCTTTCAAGCGCATTGATATCCTTCCGTCTAAGAGATCAGTTGAAGTGCAAGTTGCCGGCAAGACGGTGGCCAAGTCAGATTACGCGGTTCACTTGTTAGAGACGTACTTGCCGACGAGGTACTACTTGCCGCTTGCTTCAGTCGACCAGCTCGTTCTCCGGAAAAGTGACCTTATAACCAGTTGTCCCTACAAAGGGGATGCCGAGTACTACCATATAGTCATTGATGGTGAGGAGCACAAGAATCTTGTATGGTATTACAGGACAACTACACATGAGAGCGCTGGAATAGCCGGGCTTTTGTCCTTTTACAGCGAGAAGGTGGATATCATTCTTGATGGGGAGTTGCTTGAGAGACCCAAGACGTTCTTCTCATAGACACAAAATGCTTTTTGTGTTGATTTAGTCACCAGCGGAATATAGTCACGCGATTGCTCAAAGTATACTCAAAACTCAGGACGTGGACATGTTTTCGACTCACACGTTGGCGCATTCACCAGGCTTCGTTAACTGCCTCCAAAGTATCTTACACGGGCCTGTAGGCAAATTGCTCCTCTCATTATCAAGCAGCACTTTCCAGTTCTGCGATTCATAGCAATCAGTTTTTTCTCAATACCATGAGCTCAATTGCTCCTTTACAGCATCAAATTCTGTTTGTCGAGTCCAGATTGCTTCAGCGTGATCATCCGCCGTGTTTACTTGTTGGTAATCAACCTACCAAATGAGCCACAATTCCCCAGGGCATGGACTGGGCCCATGAGTTACACTTTCTCATTTCCGGCGGCAGTCCAGACCATCGTGGTAGAGAGGCGTATCATAAGATGTCCAAGAGGCTATAAGCCGTCGATTCAGCAACGCGTCGACGTTCATTGCCGACAGATGCTTGGCAGCACACGTAGTCTGCCGCAATGTTCACCTTAAGCCTAGCGCTGGTGGGCCGCCTCTGGGAACGTTGCGGAGCGGAACAAGTGACCGACAGGCCGGCTGCCGGGAGCTTCTTTCGGCATTGGCGCAGACTTGAAGCCGCGCTCGCAGCTAGCGTAAGTATTGCCCGGGTATTCACCCACAAGCGCTGCCGTTCTCCCCGTAATAACAGCCATTCGGCATCATATGCGGGAGTTTGATGGATACTTCCGAGATATTGTTTGTAATCCCCACACAAATCGTACGGCCTCAAAAGTATCCTTGCATGTGGCCATACTGGGCGGCCGCCGCGTTGACATCGTAACCTGGCGGCATAAAATCCTCCATAAAAGCAGGCGCAGCCATGCTGTATATGCTGGGAGGATATACCTGCATGGTCTGGGAACAGTCGATGACTTCCTGCTGGGGGTGGTGCTCCGGGGGCGAAGCGTGGTGCTGGTCGATGGGCATGCGTTCGTCGCGCTGGTCCCGCTCCTTCAGCTGTACCAACGAAGCTTGCTGCGGCATCGAAGGCGACGTGGCCGCTTGCACCGCCGGCGTCAGGGACTGGGAGATGGAGTGGAACGCCGGTATGTCGGCAATCAGCTCGGGAAATCGAGTGAAGAAGTCCATGCCCATCGTCCACGAGTTGATGTCGGAGATCCGCTCTTCGAATGCCGGCGATATTTGGTACTGGCCCGTGACCAAACTCTTTTTATAGGCGTCGCGAAATTCGTAGGGCCAGAG